TTGAGTGTTCGCGTGAACTTGTTTAGCAGCAGCAGCAGCCAATCTCCTCCTCCTCCCCCTCCACCTTCTCCTCACGATTGTTTATTATTTGTTTTGTGTGTGCGCATATTTTGTGATACTACCTGAAATGAACAACAGAAATATTTGCAAAATAGAAAGCAACGGCAAGAATTCATAGCTCAGATGGAACGCCACGCTTTCGAACTTAATAATTAACATAACTAGCAACAATAAGAACATGATGATGATGATGATGATGATCTTCATCATCATCATCGCCATCCTTTGCTTTAGTTTGAAACTATTCAAAAAAAACTACCTCCATGATTTGTGTGCCGAGCAGCATCATTCAAATCTAGACAATTTATACAAAAATTGAAAAACATCTCTTTTTGGAATCTGCTGTTGTGACCATGGCAATCGGGGGGTGGTGGTGCTGGCGCACAGGTATTTTTTAATTTAAGAAAATAAAATGTTTTTCACATTTCCACTAATTAAATGTCAATGTTTATTTCATCGAAACTACTACTGCCACATTCAGTGGGGGCTAAAAATATTCTTGTTAAGCAGACATCGAAGAAGGAGGAAGACGAGGATGTTACGGTGGGTGGGTGACTTTTTTGTGGAGGATGTTGTTAACGTTGTTGTTGTTGTTGCTTCTTGTGGTCGTGGTGAAGCATTAATAAAATCATTGTTGTGATACCCTCGGTAAAGCCCCCATCTTTCGATTGGTTTTCTCTGTTTTTTTTTTTTTTTTCATTTCTCCAATAATAACATCTGAGTAAGTCAATCGAAGGAGACGAGCTCATAACACGTCCACCACTAATGACGGCGGATGTGGTGGCAGGCATTGGGCACTGAGGAAATATTGAAGACCACTACAGAAGTCCGCCTTAAAATTTTGGATTCGTTCCGACGGTTGGTATTCGGTTCTTTTAATAACCTCCATTGTAACATTCCTAAATATTCGTCGTAGGAGACGAGCTCATAACGTCCGCCACTAATGACGGCGGATGTGGTGGCAGGCATTGGGCACTAAGGAAATTTTGAAGACCAACACAGAAGTTCACCTTAAAATTTTGGATTCGTTCCGACAATTCGATATTCGGTCTTTTTATACGTTCCCTTGTAACATCCCTAAATATTCGTCGTAGGAGACGAGCTCATAACACGTCCACCACTAATGACGGTGGATGTGGTGGCAGGCATTGGGCACTAAGGAAATATGGAAGACCAGCATGAACTCGCTACTTGGTCAGCGAAAAGTCCACCTTAAAATTTTGGATTCGTTCCGACAGTTTTCCGACAGTGATTTTATACCCTCCATTGTAACATCCCTAAATATTCGTCGTAGACCCCACAAAGTATTATATACAAATTCATAATCAGCATAAAATTCCAAGTCGATTTAGGGATGTCCGCCTTTCTCTCTGTCCGTCTGTCCGTCCGTCAGTGGGATCACGATACAGCCCTCATTATTAGAGGTAGAGCTTCAAAATTTGGCAGAACAAATTGTATTGCCTCTAGGATGGTTGGTATTGAAAATGAGATATATATCGGTCCACGTTTTGGTATAGCCGCCATATAACGGTACCTCCCAATATTCGGTATTTTGATGATTTTCGCCACATTTTTTCACGGATTTGTCAAAAATTTGTTTTAGTAGTTCGCAATGGGTTCTACCTCCGGTAGCGGGAAATAGTATGTAAAGGTCCACAGTTTTGCATAGCTCCCATATAACGGTACCTCCCGATATTCGGTATTTTGATGATTCGGAATGGAATGTTAATTTCGCGTTTTATTTGAAATTTTGACCTTTTGTGGGGGAGGTACCCGAAGGAGTGGACCGATATATTCCATCTTCACAGTAGATCTTGTGCTAGTAGAAATAATGAGATGTGTGAAATATGAAGGGATCCGAATTCTTATTTCGGATTTTATGATCTTTTTAGTTACTCAAACTTTGTCCCTTTGTGGGGGAGGTATCGAAAGGAATGGTCCAATCTTTACCATCTTTATAACAGATCTTGTGTTGATGGAGATATTGAGATGTACCTAGTTTGAATGGAATCGAATGTTAATTTCGCGTTTTATCAGCTTCATGGATATTCCAAATTTTGAACTTTTTGAGGGAAGGAGTGGACCGATATATTTTATCTTCACATCAGATCTAAGGTTAATAAAAAATCGTGTAATGTGTGTTAATTGAAGATAATCGGACACTTACATTACATTTTATAAGAGATATAATTATTCAAAATTTTGACCCTTTGTGGGGGAGGTACCAGAAGAAGTGGACCGATGTATGCCATTTTCACACCGGACCTTGGGCTAATAAAAATATTGCGATGTGTGTAATTTGAAGACGATCGGACACTACATCACATTTTAAAAGAGCTTAAATTATTCAAAATGTTGACCCTTGAAGGGGGAGGTACTTGATAGAGTTGACTGATATTGTCCATTTTCGCACCTGACCTAGAAATGATGCAAATATTAGGGTTTGCAAAGTAGGAGCAAAATTGGATGATCCTTTCTACACAGAACGTAGAAAAAAATATATTTTTGGAAGGTATCAGAAGAAGTGGACCGATATTGTTCATCTCCGAACTCGATCTAAGTTTGACAATAATATTACGATGTACCAAGTTTGGATCAAATCGAATACTCCCTTCCCTTTATGGTGCGCATCAGACAGCCAGACTGACAGACGGACGGACATCGCTAGATCGACTCCAAATGTGCTGGAACGGTTTTGGTTCAAAGAGACCTAGGGTCTAATATCGTTATTTCGAAAGGCATGTATTGATCGTATCAAATGATATGGCTTGAAAAAGGATCAACATTTTCAATTTTCGTGACAGAAATTGAAATATGACGGAAAATTGTCTATGCATGTTCAGGTCTTCGTCTAGGCCCCATATATCGATACGTCCCAATATTCCGTATTTTGATAATTTTAGGCACAATATTCACCGAAACTGTTTGAAATTTCGTATTTGAATTTTCTAATAGGTACTACAACCTTGACAGAAAATTGTCAGAAAATTGCGCATGTCCAGCTCTTCGTATAGCCCCCATATAACGGTACCTCCCGATATTCCGTATTTTGTTGATTTTAAGTACAATATTCGCGGGAATTGTTTCAAGTTTCGTAGTTGAAATTCCTAATCGGTACTACAGCCTGTGACAAAAAATTGTATATGCAGGTCCAGGTCTTCGTATAGCCTCCATATAACGGTACCTCCCTATATTCGGTATTTTGATGATTTTACCGACATTATACACCGGAATTGTTTGAAATTTCGTATTTGAAGTTTCTAATAGATACTACAGCCTGTGACAGAAAATTGTCTATGCAGGTTCAGCTCTTCGTATAGGCCCCATTATAACGGTACCTCACGATATTCGGTATTTCGATGATTTCAGCAACATTATTCAGCGGAATTGTTTCAAATTTGGTATTTGAAGTTTGTAATGGATACTACAGCCTATGACAGAAAATTGTCTGTGCAAGTCCCCGTTTTCGTAGAGCCCCCATATAACTGTACCTCCCGATATTCGGTATTTTGATGATTTTAGCGAATTTATTCACCGGAATTCTTTCAAATTTGGTATTTAAAGTTCGTAATGGATACTGCAGCCTACGACAGAACATTGTCTGTGCAGCTCTACGTCTACGTATAGTCCCCATATAACGGTACCTCCCGATATTCGGTATTTTAATGATTTTAGGGACATTTTTCACCAGAATTATTTCAAATTTGATATTTGAAGTTCGTAATGGATACTAAAGCCTAAGACAGAAAATTGTCTACGCACGTCCAGGTCTTCATATAGCCCCATATATCGGTAACTCCCTATATTCCGTATTTTGAGGATTTTAGCGACATTATTCACCGGAATTGTTTGAAATTTCGTATTTGAAGTTTCTAATATTTACTACAGCCTGTGACAGAAAATTGTCTATGCCGGTCCAGGTCTTCGTATAGCCCCCTTATATCGGTAACTCCCCATTTTCCGTCTTTTGATGATTTTAGGCACAATATTCACCGGAATTGTTTCAAATTTCGTATTTTAAATCCCTAATAAGAACTACAGCCTATCTATGCAGGTCCAGCTTAGGTCCCTATATATCGGTACCTCCCTATATTCCGTATTTTTAAGATTTTAGCTACATTTTTCACCGTTTTTTCAAATATCGTATTTGAATATTGTAATGACCTATGACAAAAGTTACTCATGCAGGTCCACGTCTTCGTATAGACCCCAATATTACGGCAATATTTAGCATTTTAAAGATTTTAACAGAATTTTTAACGAATTTTAATTTTTTGAAAATTTCCAAATTCATTTCCAATGGTGGAGAGTATTCCAAGTTCGGTCCGACAGATTTGACTGCTTTTTTACTCGTTTTAGAAATCTACGGTTTACGAATACTTCTTCAAAAATATATTTTTGGGATCCTTGAAATTCAAAAATAAGTTTTCCAAAGTTCTGAATTTACTGCTGTTTTACTTGTTTTATGAATCTACGATTTTCTAAATAGTTCTTAAAAATATATTTTTTAAGAATCCTTGAATTCAAAAAATAAGTCCTCCAAAGTTCCGAATTTACTGCTGTTTTACTTATTTTACAAATCTACGGTTTTCCGAATACTTCTTCAAAAATATTTTTTTAAATGCTTGAAATTCAAAAATAAGTTTTCCCAAGAATTTTTGCATAAATCACTTGGAAATCGCAGGAATTTATTTCCGCAATGAGATTCCCCCTTTCCCAATAAAATTATTGTTAACTCTATCCCTCATTCTCCTCAAAAAAAAAACCACAGACGGTGGTCGGACATACCAGTTCTACAGGTAAATATAAAACAGAACAGAATTGCAACACCAACAATAACAACAATACCAATATAACAAGAACAACAAACACATGTATTTTTCCTCAAACAATAACAAATGAATTAGAGAACCACTGAAAAAAAATGAAACTACATTGACTCGAGGTGCAAATATAAACTTTATTCCAATAATGAACCTCCACCACCAGCGAGCGGCAGCAGCGAAGACAGCGATGACGAAGAAGAAGCAACAGCAGTAGCAACAACTACACTTTATGCCGCAGTATAGCGTCAGTAGATTGTTTGCTTTCCTTCAGGCGGTCGGACGGTCGCTTAACATAGCCAGCCAGTCTCTATGATGTTGTGAGAAGTCTGTCAGTCAGCCACTCGGAGTCGTATGTTTTGCGGCGCTATATATTTTGAATTGTTTTTTTTTTTTTATTTAAATTTTTTTTGAAGTGATATCGGAGGAAAAAAATTAATGCTAATTATTTTTTTTAATATCTCAAAACAAAAAGAACCCGGTATATGTATTACGTTTCGTCTTATCTCGGTGGTGCTGAAAAAAATACAAAAAAAACATTACGTCGTCGTAACTTCTCCGATATTTACTTTGGAATTCTTAAGTGTCGTCCACGACGTTGTTCGCAACAAACATTCGCGTTTGGAGATAAAAAAAAATAAAATTGGAAATGAGTTGCCTTTTTCCCTTTCTCATGGTAGGTTTGGCAAAGTACTCACTCCTTCTCCCAGTCGAAATCACAACAGCCACACTAAGCGATAGCTGCCCCCTTCATCGAGATATTGGTTTTCAATTTTTTGTTGTTTTTTGTTTTTGGTTAATTGAATAGCAAAACGAAATTACATTAGCACGAACTTGATTAAACGTCAATCAACATTCGTTCGTTCGTTCCTGAAACCTCAAGCAAGTGTTTAAACGTTTTATACCCCCACAACAAGTTTTCAAATCAATTTCATATTCCGGGAAACCAAAAGAAAACTATTTACCCCTACCCCCCTACCCCACAGCCAAACAGTGTTTGAGTGAAGTGAAAATTCCCAACCTTTTGGGGCGAAAAATTTGAATAGAAAATCAACCTGTGTGATCGTATTTGGTAATATTTACTTGTTCGGCTCTCCTTAATGACAGAAAGAAAATTGTGCGATAAAGTGCCTTTGTTGTGTGGAATGGAATTTCTGGAAGATCCCAAGTGCAATTCAAACATAAATTCTACATAAAAGAGATATTATTTTAAAATTAAATCGAAAGAAAAAAAATCTGAATAAATCAAATAAAAGAAAAATTCCGAATAAATCAAATATTGCAATAAAGAAATTGAAAATTTCGTAAAAAAAATATCGCAATTGTGATCCGACCTCCCAATTGCAATTCGAACATAAATTCTACATAAAAATGATAATATTTTTAAACATTTTTGAGTAACTCAAATATTGAAATAAAAAAAATGGGAAATTTCGCAAAAAAATCGCAATTGTGATCAGGCCTTTCGCCACACAACTTCCGAGGAGAATGAATCAGAAGGCATTAATCAGCTGATAGACGGACTCATCAACAAGAAATATGGCCTATACTCGGGGGAATTTTGGAAAAAGTTTTTGAATGAATGGAAATAAAACCCTAACTTTTCACGGATCAATTGTGATATGGTTTTAACCACAAAGCTTCGGAAGAGAGAATCAGCAGACATTAATCAGTTGATGAACTCATCAACAAGAGAAGAATTTTTAAGGACAAAGGGCGAGAAACTGGTATTTTTCCCCAAGGCCCATCAGAGTCAACTGCGTGGATGGTTGAACCTATTTTTTCAAAAATCATTTAAAGCAACATTTTAGATTTTTATTAATTTTTTGTTCAGGGACCTTGAAAGTTCCACCGAGGCAAAAGCCTAATTTTTTTCAAGGACCAACCAAAGCAAAAATGTTGATTTTTGGAGAGCTATTTCTAGTATCCTCTGAGAGCAACAAAGCGTGAATTTTTAAACCTATTTTCCAAGGCAAAATCTGGGCATCTGGCATCTGGGCAAAATTTTGGATTTTTAGCACACATGTTTTGAATGTTCCTCCGAGGCATTTTAATTTTTTTTCAAAGCCCGTCAGAGTCAATTTCTGGATTGTTGAATCTTTTTTTTCAAAGTTCATCTGAAACAAAATTTTAGATTTTTTTCAAGGAACATCTGAGGCAAAATCTTGGATTTTTTGCATACATATTTTGAAGGTTTCTTCGAGGCAAAAACCCCAGTTTTTTAAGGGTCTACTAAGCATAATTGTTGATTTTTGGTGAGCATTTTAAGCCTATTTTTCCAAGGAAATATCTGAGGCAAAAAAAGTGAATTTTTAAAACTATTTTACCAAGAAAACATCTGAGGCAAAATTTTGGATTTTTTGCCCACATATTTTGAGGGTTCCTCTGAGGCAGAAAACTTATTTTTTTCAAGCAAAATCTTAGATAAAATAATTTTTTAACCAATTTTTTCAAGGACTATATTAAAGAAAAAACCCTTTTTTAATATTTTGAAATGTGAGATTTTTGAATATTTTTACGGATAAATTTTGACAAAAATCGTTGCCTTTATTTCTTCAACGCTGAAACAACCTAAAAACCAATTTTTTTAAGGGCAACTTGATTTTTTAATCATTTCTTTTCTAGTACACCGAGGGCAATTTGGAAAAAATTCGAAGATTTTCAAATAGCAACAATTATAAGGACCATCTGAGTTAAACGCTTGGATTCTTTAATAATTTTTGTTTTCAAGGACCGTCTGAGGTACAATCAAAATCTGGGACCATCTGAGGCAAGAAACAACATGTTTTTATTTTTTTTTTTATGAATAATTTGAGGCAATAGCGTTGATTTTTGAAAAATATTCTATTCAAGGACCATCTGAGACAAAATGTTGGATTTTTGTACACATATTTTGAAGATTACTCCGAGGCAAAAATCTTAATTTTTTCAAGGATCAACTTAGGCAAAAATGTAGATTTTTGGAGAGTTCTTTCAAATAGAAAAAATCTTAAGTCGCAAATTTTCCAAGGACCATATTAGACAAAAAAAAAAACATTATTTTTTGGAATATTTGGATTTTTTAATATTTACTAAGGTTTAGATTTTTTCAGATAAGGATTTTTTCAACGCCCAACCAATCTAAAAACCAAGATTTTTTTAAAGATATTTTTAAGGCCAAACTTGGATTTTTCAATCATTCTTTTTCTGGACCACCCACCCAAAACCATTTTCAAGCAACATCTGAAGCAAAACTTAGATTTTTAAACCCAATTTTTCAAGGACCATTTTAAAAACATGGATTTTTAAGTAATTTTTAAGGGCCATCTCAGTCTAACACCTGAATTTTTTAAATATTTTTTACGAATCGTTTCAGGACCATCAGGTGCAATATCTTACATTTATAGTACATTTTTTCAATGACCAAAAGTGCAAAAGAATTGGATTTTTTTTTTTAATTTTTTTAATTTATATGAATAATTTTTTTCAAGGGCTTTAAGCTTAGGATTTTTTAGGCTCTTTTTTTAAAGACCCAAAACTTGGAATTAAAAAAAAAGTCCAAAACCCAAATATGTCAAAGATTGTTTTTCCCCCCAAGGACCAACACAGCCCAATTAGTGATTTGTTTATATAATTTTTTTAAGAAATTTGGGATTTTAAACATATTTAAACATACATTATAGAAAACATGCATATTTAAATAAGTTCTTTTTTCTCTGAACCTTAATCCTGTATCTTCTCTATCGAAACCTTAAACATGGATTGTTTTGATTTGATTTTTTTTTAACGTGGATTTCTTTAAAAAATTATTTTTGCTTGAATTCTTTAAACACTATTTTTTCAAGTACCAATTGGTTTTTTTAAATTAAATAATTCAATATCATCTGAAACTTAAATGAGATTTTTATGGTGGCTACAGAGGGCATATATCATTCGATACATCCAAAACATGCCTCATCTAAATAACGATTATATTAGACCAAATCTATTTTAGAACACTTGGAGTCTATATATGGGTGTCCACCCGTAGGTCTCACGAAGGGAGTATCCCATTTAAATATTACGATTCGTACATGGTAATATTTAAATCAAACTTAGATTGAGTTCGGAGATGAGTAATATCGGTCCACTCCTTCTTGTACCTCCCCCACAAAGGGTCATCATTTTGAATTAATATATATCTCTCATAAAACGCGAAAGGAGAAACTCACTCTTTTCAAACTCGGCACATCCCAATATTTCGGTCAATAGAAGATATAGTAAGAAGAACGGGTATATCGGATCACTCCTTCTGGTACCTCTCCCACAAGAGGTTCAAGAATTTGAATAATCCAAACGCTCACAAAATTCAAAAAAAAAAAAAAACATCCGATTCCCTTCAAATTCTTAACATCCCAATATTTTTATTAACACAATAGCTCGTGTGAAGGTCGTATATATCAGCGCACTCCTTTTGTTACCTCCACCACAATGAGTCAACATTTTAAATAGTTATATATCCCATAAAAAAAAACAAATAAGCATCCGATTCTTTTAAAATGTCACAAATTCCAAATTCCATCAACACAAAATCAAGTGTGTAGACGGGATACATCGGCCCACTTCTTCTTGTAATTCCCATACAAAGGGGTCAACATTTTGAATGACCCAATGCGAAATAGGCATCCGAATCTCTTTAAATGTCACAAATCCAAAAATATATACTAACCCTCGATATAGTGTGAGGATGATAGACATCGGCTTGGAATTTTTCGTTACTTAAATTTGAAACCAACCGGTCAATTTCGCAATTGTAATCGTTTTTAACGAAATTCGCACAATCTGTTGTTTTTCTCTTTCTCTCCTCATCAATATTTTTTTTTTTTTTTTTTTTTTTTTTGTAAATCCCCCTTCGATTTCTAATCATTTTTTGTTTTCCCATTATCTTTACAGGCCAGTTCCGGCAAAATGGATGGTCTATCGGAGATTGAACAAATTGTTAAAGAAAAGACAGTAAGTGAAGCGTAATTACATTATTTCCACTTTACATTTTTCTTATGAATGCTTCTTCTCTTTTTTCTCTACCCCCCCACCCCCCCTCACCTTCAGGAAAGACACGAGGAAAAATCAAAAATTCTCAGTGAGAGCAGTAGTAATAATCGAAGTGGTGGAGGAACAGCCAACAACAGCAGCAGCAACACAACAAACAGTGATTGTACAACAACAGGTGGTGGTGGCATGGCTGGTGTTATGGACAATATCGATTCCATGTATCCGAATTGTGGTGACAACAATACCACCAATAACTCATGCACAGCCAATGCAGCAGCGTCGTCAATGATGATGATGACAGCAGGCACAGCGTTATCCTCTACCACCAACACCTACAACTCATCATCAGCATCGGCGGCATCATCATCTGCAGCAACGGCAACAACGGCGGCGTTAGGCAATGCTGCCGGCGTTGTTGAAAACAATGACGAAGTAAATTATAATTTTTAAAATATAATTTTTTGAAATTTATATAAACTTAAGCAAAAACCCCCCCTCTATAAAACCACCCACACATAGAACAATAGCACAACCGCAACAACAACATCAGCATCAACAGCACCATATGCGGCCGGTGAGGCAAATGATGAAAATGATTTGTCTTCAACAATACAAAAGCATAGATTTCCCGCACTAGTCGAGCTATTGACAACCGAGGAAACGTACATCAAGGATTTGGGTGATATTGTTAATGGGTAAGTGGAGAGTTCCTCTTAAGAGAAACAATTTATAAGTCTGCTACCCCGTCGCAGGGATGGAAAAACGTTTTATGTCAATGAGTTTTGAAAATGTCTGGAAAGCGCTATGTAAAAGCTTTCCTTAGAAAGAGGAACTATCGCAGAAACTACCATAGTTTTTATATAGGCCGCATACCTTCTAAACGTCTTCAACCTAAGATAGACTTCTCACCTATAGCTAAAAGACATTTCCAAGGCCTCCTGTAGATCTAAATGCATTACAAAATTCTATTATATACAGAAGTGTCTTCAAAGGTCTGCTATAGACAGACGATTTTTTAGGGTGTCCTAGCGATGAATGAATGGCCTTTTAAATGTCTTCCTTAGATTGAAGAATATCTTAGAAGAGGAACTACCGCAGGAATTACCATAGTTTTTATATAGGCTGAATACCTTCTAAACGTCCTCAACTTAAGATAGACTTCTCACCTATAGCTAAAAGACATTTCCAAGGCCTCCTCTAGATTTAAAGGCATTCGAAAATTCTATTATATACAAAAGTGTCATTAAAGGTCTGCTATAGACAGCGATGAATGGCCCTTTGAAGACCTTATAAAAGTATCTCTTAGGAAGAGGAAATATCACAGTCCAATATAGGCTGACGAATTTCTAAACGTTATTTTCCTAGGATAGACTTCTTCTTCTAGAGATAAAGAGGTCTCCTGTAGATTTAAAGACATTCTAAAATTCTTCTATAGACCCTCTAAATGTCTTCTATAGATGGACGAATTGTTTAGGTTGTCCTAAACATAAATCACCTGTTAAATGTCTTCCTGTGATTGAAGAAGGTTTTGTGAAGCCTGAATCCCTTTTACAGGTCTTGTATATACAGAAGACCATCTGCTGGTCTCTTATAAACAGATGTTCCTTTAAAGTTCTTCTATAGAGGGACAATTTTTTGTGAGGTGTCCTACAAATAAATCGCCTTTCTTTCTTCCTTAGATTGAAGGCCTACCAAAGATTTTCTAAAACCGGAAATCTTTCTATAGGTCTTTTATAGAGACTATCAGCAGGTCGTCTGTTGACAAAAGTCCTCCCAAAGATCTTTTATTGAAGGTATTCTTCTAAAGGCCTTCTTCATAAGAAAGATCTACCAAAGTTCTTTTGCAGATAGTAGGCCTATTGAAATTCTTTTTTAGACATAAATAGACAAACTGTTATTTAATGTCTTCCTGAGATTGAAGAGCTACTAAAGGTTTTCTAAAATCTGAAATCCATCGACGGGTCTTTTATAGACCAGAGGCCATCTGCACGTCTCCTGTAGACGGACGACCACCTAAAGATATTTTATAGAAGGTCTTCTTTATAAGGTAGGGTAAGGTTGTTTTTTATAGGCCTTTTAAAAATCTTCTTTAGACATAAATCTCCTAAAGATCTTTTCTATATAGAAGACCTTAAGAAAGTCTGATATCAATAGATTTTTTGAAGGTCTTCTCTATGAGGACTAAAAGCCTGTTATAATAGAATATCGTCCAAAAAAATCTTTGATATGATTGGGTCTTCAACAGACACATCTTTTTTAATGTCCTCTATGAACCTATGAATCTTCGGAAGATCTCATATACAAGACCTTGTATAAATAGTTGACCTTCCACGGGTATTTTACAGACAGTAGAAATTTTGAAGAATTTCCTTAGAAATAAACCTTCTAGGTCTTCTATAGACAGGAAACCTCCCAAAGTTCTCCTATGGAACATCTTGTTCTAATGGTCTTCTTTACATCGAAGACATTCCAATGTTCTTTTACAGACGGAAGACCTGTTTAAATCCTTCTTTGGGCATAAATAACCCTTCTTCTTCAGACCTTCAGAAGATCTGATATCAATAAATACCTATTGAAGTTATACTATGTAAAGACTAAAAGCCTGCTATAGATGGAATACCATCCAAAAAAAATTGTTAAAGGTCTTCAACAGACAGATCGTTTTTTACATGTCCTCTATGATAAGGTTATCTTCCCCTATAGAAGACTTTCAGATCTTCAAACATACACCTCCTAAAAGTATTTTTTATATATAAAACCTTTTAAAGATCTTCTATCGATAGCTGACCTTTTTAAGTCTTCCTCTAAAAGATTTATAAATCGTAGCCTTTCAAAAAAAAACTGTCTTAGATGGAATGTCTTCTTTAGTCCAAAGGTATTTCCCCCGAGGTAGAACTCTTAAAGATCTTTTTTTAGAGATAAACTTCCTCTTTAGCTATAGGGCCTTCTAAAGATCTTTTATCGATATCCGATCTCAATGTCTTCCTCTAAAAGATTTATAGATAGGAGCCCTTCTGAAGATTTGTCTTACATGGAGGAATGCTCAAATGTCTTCTATAGTCCAAAGACATTTTTAAGGTCTTCAAAAGATAGAAGACGTTCCATAAGTCTTGTGTTGATAGAATGGCTTCTCAAAGTCTATAGAAGGCATTTCTCGGATACATGACAGGTATTTTACGGACAGTGGAACTTTAAGATATAAACTTCCTTAAAATCTTCTTTATATACAAGACCTTCTAAAGATCTCCCATTAATAACCAATTATTTTAATGTATTTCTCTAAAATATTTTAAAATCGAAACCCTTCCAAGGATCTGTCTTACATGAAGGACGGCTTAAATAACTGCTAAATCAATGACCTTTTAAAGGACGTCAATAGATGAAAAACGTTCCAAAAGTCTTCTATTAATAGAATGCATTAGATAGATAACTTTCTAAAAGTATTTTAAAGACAGGAGAACTTCCTAAAGATTTTCTTCATGTACAAGACCTTCTAGAGATCTCTTTCCGATCGACTTTCTCTAAAAGATTTATAGAAAGGTCTAAAAGGTCTTTTACAGACAGAAGGCCTTCCAAAGGTAATCTAATAGAATGCCCTCTAAATATCTTCTAGGGACAGTGAACCCTTTATAGGCCCTTGATCGTCAAAAAACTCTCAGAATATCTTCTACCAACAGAAGACTTTCTAAAGGTCTTTCATAGAAAGAAAAGATCATCTAAATGTCTGCCATATACAAAAGACCTTCTAAAGGTTTATATGTAGATATAAAATGTTGTGTAAAGATATAAAAATAAAATACCTCTAAAGGCCTCTCTCTATAAGTGCAAATTAATTCAATGATCTTTCATAAATAGAAGTACTGATAAAAGTCTAAAGGTCTCTAATTTGCGGATGATTTTCTAAAGGTATTTTACAGATGGAAGATCTTTTTAAAGTCTTCCATGGTTTGCAAACCTACAGGGGTTCTACTCATAAAACACCTTCAAAATAACTTCTTCAAATTAAAACCCTTACAAAAGTCTTCTACATGACTTCGATGCATAGAAAACCTTCTATAGGACTTCTTTGCAAAGAGGATCATCTAAATATTTTCCATTAATTTATATATTGCCTTGTAAAGGATCCATATACCTAGAAGACCTTCCGAAAGTCTTCTACACATGGAACCTTCCCTTCTAAGAGACATACAAAGATTGAAGATAACCTCAAACCGATATTTGCTTGAAACGACCCCTACGAACCCCTTAGTTGGTAATCGCAGAGCAAAAGTCCCTTAGAGGCTCTTCTCTAAATATATATATAAGTCCCTTAGAAGTTCCTCCAAAACCCTCTTTTTAAATATAGAAGAGATTCTTTAATTGTTTTGAAACCCTTCTATTGGTATTGTCTTTTGGTAGACCTAAATACTTTTTGTTATTTTCAGTTTTCCATCCCTATTCTGCCTTTTATACATATAAGTCTTTACATGCTCGTCTATAAATCGAAATATATTAGAGTGTCTTCTCTAAATATTAGACCTTCAAAAGGTCCTTTGAATACCTTATTAAAACTTATAAAGAAGGCCTTCTCTAAGTCCTCTTTAACATTTCCAAACCCAGAAAACCTCTGGATGTGATCTTCTGTTCATTGTGAATACTTTTTGTTAACTTTGGTTTTCCATCCCTGACTTGCCATGCCCAAAAACCTATTATTAGAATAATGAGTAGGATTTATTTATTTGTTTATTATTGTTATTATTAATATTGTTGTTTTTATTGTTACTATTTTAATTTCAACTAATGCACACATATTTCCACACCAGGTACATTAAGGAATTGCGAAGTGGTGATATACCATTGCCAAATGATTTAAGAGGACCCAAAGGACAAATAGTTTTTGCCAACATTGAAGCCATTTATGAATGGCACAGAGAGTGAGTTGTTATTATTACAATTTAATTAATTTAATTATATTTTGTTCGTCATTTTCAACCTTTTTCTGCTTTGTGTCAAAAATGTTTAGCTATTTCCTCAAGGCATTAATCCAAAGTCAAAAAACCCCCTCGGAGCTGGGCAACATGATCAAACGCTATGAGAATAAATTCCAAATGTATATTACGTATTGCAACAACAAACCCAAATCGGAACATATTGTCACCGAACATGTTCAATATTTTGAATTGGTGCGACAGAAGTTGGGCCATCGTTTAGAGGTAACGTGTTTTTTTTTGAATAATTTTTCAATCGCAATTTTAAAAAATATTTATTTTTTTAAATAATAATCCTCACTGTTTCTCGCAATCTTTAGCTAAGTGATTTGCTTATAAAACCTGTACAAAGATTACCCAAATATGTCCTACTCTTGACGACCATAACCAAACAAATTGAAAATGCCGGCCTGATGGAAGATGTGGCCAGCATGAAGGAAGCATGTAATGTAATGAATGTAAGTATTTGAATTAGAAAATAGGGCATAGTAACTAATGGAATAAGGGATGCTAGAGCTAATTTGGCGCCCAATATTTTTTTGAGTATCAAGTCGAGATTACTCAACTGATTATGGCGGCTATGTCAACTCAGGCGGACAGGCTAAAAGTTCAAACTATCCATAGTGAAGTGGAGTTTTAGGCTTTTAATTTTATTGAAATGTCTTCTTGTTCTTCCTTTTCAAGAATTTTATTAATAGTTTTTATTTCATTTCCCCCCATTTCCCCCCATTTCCCCTCTTTTCCCCAGGCCATTTGCAAAGATGTCAACGATATTATGGTACTGCGACGTCTCAAAAATTTCGATGGTAATATCACGGCCCAAGGTAAATTACTATTACATGGAACGCTGACATGTCTGGAACAGGGCAAAAATGCCACCGAACGCAAGACCCGTGAACTTTATGTATTTCTCTTCGATCAGGGTATCTTCTTTACCGAAAGACACAATGCTAAAGGACAGTTTTCAAGTCCTACCTACATCTATCGATCACACATACAGGTGAGTAAAATACATATAAAATAATATACGAACATGAATATAAAGGGGGATTTTTTAAGAGCTATAGGCAAGTTTCTAAAAAGAAATTCAAATATTTAGGAACACGCATTAGATCTTTATTTGAATTGATAGCAGGTTCCATATAATGTTATGTTTGAAGGTGATTTCATGGAAATGTTGACCATTATTGCCACAGAGGTTGTAATAGGCCTCAGCAGTCAAAATGATTTTTCAATGTAATTCCGGGTAATTTTTAAGGATTCAAAGTTGTTGATGATCAACCTGCCTTCTTGAGATTCTAATTGGCAAACTGTGATTCCAACATATTCAATTTTTTTTTTTTTTGAGAATTTAAATAATTTTAATGCGTTTTTGATGCCAACTCATTCCACATAACCTTTGGTTACAGCCTATCAGAGTAGCTGATTTCTTAAATCTGGATGTTGAAACAGAACCAAATTAGCAGTTTTTAAACTTCGGACATACAACCGCAATATTTTTTCTTGCTGATGTGGGCCTAATTATTCAAGATGACTTTTGGATGGAATTCCATTTCTTTTTCAAAGATCTAATCACGAAGCTGTAGAGAATTAAAATAATTACAATGCGTTTTTGATGCCTGGTGCCAACCCTACCCAACCCACTCCATATGGTTTTTAGGCTATAGCCTATCAGAATAGCTGATTTCTTAAATCTGGATGTTGGAGCAGTTTTTAAACTCCGAACATATGTTACAGCTACAACAGCAATATTTTTGATATAACCGCCAAGGTGGCAATGGGCGTCATTAGTCGAGATGATTTTTTCAAAAGGATTCAAGCACGAAGTTGTTGATAATCTCCCGGCCTTTTCACAATTGTTATATCCTCAGCCATATGTCTCAGAGGGTATATATTATTTGATACGCCCAAAACGTGCCTGATCGAAAAAAAGGTTTTTATACCCTAGGTCTCTTTGGATCAAATCCGTTTAAGGACATTTGGAGTCAATCTAGAGATGTCCGTTCGTCCATCCGTCCGTCTATTTGTCTGGCTGGTGCGCGTAAATCGTAATATTATTATGAAACTTAGATCGAGCTCGGAGATGTGCAATATTGGTCCTCTCCTTCTGGTACCTTCCCCACTAAAGGTAGAACTTAAAAAAATATATATTTTACTGCACAGAAAGAGAAAGGGTAATCCAATTTGCTCCAATTTTGCAAATCTTAACATTTGCATTAGTGCTAGGTCAGGTGCGAAAATGGACAGTATCGGTCCACTCCATCAAGTACCACCCCACAAAGGGTCACAATTTTGAAAAATTACAACTCTTATAAAATGAGATGTTTAAGCCCAATTGTCTTCAAATTACACACATCACAATGTCTTTATTAACCCAAGGTCTGGTGTGAAGATGGAATATATCGGTCCACTCCTTCTGTTACCTTCCCCACAAAAGTGTCAATATTTTGAATATCCATGAAGCTCATAAATCGTGAAATTAACATCCGATTCCATTCAGACTTGGTACATCTCAGTATATCCATCAACACAATATCAGTTATAAAAATGGGAGAAATCGAACTGTTCCTTTTGGTACCTCCCTCACAAAGGGTCAAAATTTTGAATAACAGAAACGCTTATAAAATCCGAAATAAGCATCCGATTATCTTCATATTCCACACATCCCATTATTTCTACTTACACTAGATCTGCTGTGAAGATGGAATATATCGGTCCACTCCTTCTGGTACCTCCCCTACAAAAGTGTCAATATTTTGAATATCCACGCAGTTCATAAAACGCGAAATTAACATCCGATTCCATTCGAACTTGGCACATCTCACTACTTCCGTCAACACAACATCCGTTATAAAGATGGTAGAGATCGGACCATTTCTTCTGGTACCTCCCCCACAAAGGGTCAAATTTTTGAATAACCAAAACGATTATAAAATCCGAAATAAACATCCGGTTCTCTTCATATTTCACACATCCCATTATTTCTACTTACACTAGATCTGCTGTGTAGGTGGGATATATCGGTCCACTCCTTGTGGTACCTCTCCCACAAAGGATCAACATTTTGAATATCCACGCAGTTCATAAAATGCCAAATTAACATCCGATTCCATTCAGATTTGGCACATCTTAATACTTTCATCAACACAAGATATGTTATGAAAATGGGAGGGATCGGATCATTCCTTCTGGTACTTCCCTCCACAAAGGGTCAAAATATTGAATAACCAAAACGATTATAAAATCCGAAATAAACACCCGGTTCTATTCATATTTCACACATCCCATTATTTCTACTTACACTAGATCTGCTGTGAAGATGGGATATATCGGTCCACTCCTTGTGGTACCTCCCACACAAAGGGTCAAAATTTTGAATATCCACGAAACTCATAAATCGTGAAATTAACATCCGATTCCATTCCAGACTAGGCACAACTCAGTATTTCCATCAACACAAGATCTGTTAAAAAAATGGGAGGTATTGGATCATTTCTTCTGGGACCTCCTTCACGTAGGGTTCAAGATTTTGAAAAAGAAAACGAGAAAAGCTCATTCCAAATGTATTTAAATATTCGACCATTGACTTAGGGTATACATCTGTCGGTAAAACCGACTGATACTTTTTAACTTGTTCTGGAGAATTTTAATAATTTCAATGTGGTTTGAGGCCAATATCATCCGATTTGAAGTAATTATGTAGTTTCTACTTGTCCAATGTCGCTTTTAGTAACTAAAAATAACACCCGATATTGGAAAGTCCATACTAGCCTAGAATCCTACAAAATAGTTGATACTTTTGAAATATAATTTTGTTTGCCTAATTTCATTAAACTAATGCCGCTCTCTCTCTCCCATTTTCCCTCTCTTTACAGCTTAACAAAATGCAATTGGAAGAGCTGACAAATCATCGTTTCCAACTCAAATCCATTGATCCCAATCGACCCAATATCAATATGATTTGCTATGCCTCCAACACGGAGGCATGTCGCAATTGGTTGGACACGATACGCAAACAATTGCAGTTTCAACATGATTTCCTTAATGCTCTCATCAGGCCCATTGCCTATCAACAGCAGCAGCAGCAACAACAGCAACTGCAAAAGCAACATAGCCAAGTAAACAATGAGCAGCTATAACCAGCAATCCATGATTATTACTAAAAAAAAAAACACTAAATCACTAAAAAGTCGATGATGATTTCATTCATTGTGAGCGCCTAAAAGTAGACACCATAATTTGTTTAGTTCCACAACCAAATTGGAGAAATCAAAAGAAAACCAAAAACAAATGGAATATTTTTTGGAAAAAATCAAAAAAAAATGTAAAAAAAAAATTACAAAAAAAGTCAACATTTTAAATGTGCACTCTAAATTATTAAAAAAAAAAACAACAACAACACACACACATACCATTCACCCAACAATATTAGCGAAAGGAAACAAAACTTTAGTGACAAAATTTATGTGTGCTCAGTTTATATAAATTATACTCAGTTAACAAACAAACAACAACAACAAAAAGTAGTAGAAGAACAAGAAAAACAACAAAATTATTTATAAATTATTATTACAAAAAATTAAAAAAACTAATGTAAATTATTTCAAATCTATGTTTAGTAAAACCAAAAAGAAAAAAGTGTAATACATTTGTGTCCAGAGACCAGACCCCCGGCATGTGTCCTGGGAAAACAATGCAAAATTTTGGTATGTAAAATTTAATTTGTGTTTGAGAAATGGAATAGGCAAGGAAATATGGCGCAAAGCAAACGATGAACGATGTGTTTTTTTAGCAAAAGAGAAAAAAAAAACACACACACACAATAGATGAATTCTAATTAAGAAGTATTACTTCGATGCAATTTAAAGCTGTCTTATATATTTTTAATAACATTTATGTCTTATTATTATTATTTTTCCACAATTCTAAATGTAATTTTAATTTAAAAAAATAAACTCCCGGCCAGTAAAAAGCCAAGTAGTTACTCCCAGTCATATAGAAATAAGTATGAAACCACAAAATTAAGAAAAATATTTCCAAATCAACAAACAAACGGACGGACGGACAGGAGGACGGAGAGACTGGAGGACGGACTAACTTAAAACCTAGTAGCTATTCATCTATCTATCTATACCTTAATATAGAGGACCTGTAACTAATCCTTAAATGACTTTAGGTTTCCAAAACGACGATTGCATTTGCAAGACACCCCACTATCACACACACCTACAACAAAAAGGCCCTCATGCAGACATAAATCACAAAAATCCCCCCAAGCAAGTTTCCTCATCATTTCGTTTAAATTATTTCAAAGCAATTTATTTTTATAAAAAAAGAAAACCACACCACAAAATCATTGAAAACCCACAACAACTCCTTAGTTTTTAGCCCTAATTTTAGTATTATTACAATTATGATTATTCTAATTAATAATAATTTTTGCAATGTGTAAACAATTTTCTTTATTTTTTCATTTTTTGTATTTATATATATATTATTGTAAACCATTTAATTTTAATGATGATCTATATATACAAATATATTTTACTCTTTTTATTTTTTGTATAATAAGTAATTTTTAAGTGCTATCTGAGTGATTCTAAATAATAAGTATTTTATTATTACATACATACAAACAAACAAAAAAACCACATGCAAACAACAACCTACACACCTACATAAGAAACAAAACAATTATTATTATTATATATTTTTTTAATTTGTATTCTATTATTATTATTTTTTCTTCTCTTTCGAATAACTCAAAGTTTTTTAGAAATCTACAAAAAAAAATATACATATATAAATAAATACAAATATATAAATAACGTAACATAACATTAATATACTTATATTATACAGAAGCGAAACAACAACAACAAATAAAATACATATATGAAAACAAAAAAACAACAACATTATGAAACAATTATTTTGCAAAACTATTTTAGTTTTGGGTTTAGTTTTCGTAGACCAAATTAAATTTAGTTTCAAAAATTAGAGGAAATCAAAAGCGAATTTTGGAAATGAAGGTAGAAAGGATGGCTTTATGAAAGATTAATTTAAGAGGTAACCTAGGGTAGGTTATTGGACGCGCGGTTGCCGTTTGGTAACCGCTCCACTCGGAGACCTACAGGCTCATTGTGTTCATCCTAGAAAGAATAGTAAAAGAAAGGAATGTGTGATGGAAGAGAGTGAAGATAGAAAATAGAATTATAGAGTGTGATCTACGGCTAAAGAAGTTGCCGTGTCGTCTTTAGCCTTGAATCTTCTTGACTTGAATCTTCTGGCTAATTGAAGAATTACTGTAGGTTCAGTGCTAGAAAAAGAAGACAGATCATGTGACACTAGTTCCCCCATCAATCTGTGTCTCACGCTAATGAGTGCTGGGCAGTGGCAGAGCAAGAGTTCGACTGTCTCCATTTCTTCTTCATCTTGGCAGATCCTACAGTAGTCAATGTTATCGCTATCCCATTTCGAAATCATTGCCCTCACCTTACAGTGACCTGTGATGATACCCACCACAAATTTTAAATCATGTTTCGGCAATGACAGTAGCGATTTTGTTCTCTTCTCCGAGAGTATGGGCCACATTCTTTTGGAGATGGTACAACCCCTTTCGTCCAGCCATATGTGTTGGATTCTCTCAGAGTAGTGTCTGTGAATAACCTCTAGGAAGTGGCACAGTGGTGGTTTAAACAAGTTCTCTACTTCAATTGTAGTTGATTCGGATCCTAGCCTAGCCAATTCGTCTGCAGTCTCGTTGTCTGGAATATTATAATGACCAGGAACCCAAAAGAGCTTGATGGACAACCCAGTGTTTTCCAAGGCTCTTCTGCAGTTCAAAACAACCCTAGACTTAATGGTGTAGGAATATAAGGCCTTCAGTGCTGCCTAACAGAATTTGCAAGAGATCGACCGAACTTATTGTCTTTTTTTCAACAGCCAGTGAAGGGCCGAATAATAAATGAACGTTTGTGTCAGATAATCCAATTAACTGTTACAACGGTTAGGGACCTCTTATAGACGAAGGAATGACAGTGATATCAAGTTCCTCGTCAGAAAGAGCCGAGTCATTTCCAAAGCCAGAGGGAACAATCTCCTGACGGAGTCCCAGTGTTTTGGTCTTCTGCTGGTAAATACGGCCACGGATAACGTCACTGTAAGTTTGGATCGTATGGTCCATTGAACGGTTATTGGTAGTTGTTGGCGTTTTTAGGTTTGCAAACAGAGGAACACTGATGGGCGCGGTTTACGTAACACCCCAGCGCTTGGAGTCGTTTATCCCGGTAGTCCAACACCGATCACTGGTTATTTATGGACGCCAGCTATTCGCCCCGTCGAACCAAACATCACGAGCACTCGGACATTTGTTCCGAGACTCTGCCCCTGGTACCACTGAGCTGTCCGCGACAGCTTATTTAATTCGCAGATGCCCAATATATCTTCTGGGCTTTCAACTGGACGCGTCCGGTAGCATCCAGCTATGCTTCCGCGAACGGACGGACAAGTAGTAAACTCATGGTAAGTAGGGAAAGAAAATGTCCATTAGCCAAACAATTAGAATTTAAGAGAAAATTGACCGACAAACAGTAAATAGGACCTGTTTACTTTTATCGAAAGAAAATAAATGGGAATTGGGACGTTCTCAAGATTTAGAACTCTCTTTAAAAGAACTATTGAAATGTATCCTGGTAATATCTGCTAAAACTTCGACATAGAATTCGGGTGGATTCTCTTTTGTAGCCTCTCTTATTATACCCTCCACCTTGTATTGTGTCTATGATGGTTGGTATTGGAAATGAGATATATCGGTCCACGTTTTAGTATGATCCCCATATAACGGTACCTTCCAATATTCGATATTTTGATAATTTTTGCCATATTTTTTCACGGATTTGTCAGAAAATTGGTATTTGTATGTCGTAATGGGTCCTAGTGTGTGTGGCAAAACATTGTATGTATAGGTCCACGCTTTGGTATAGCCCCCATATATCGGCACCTACCCATATTCCGGTTTTGATGATTTTTGCACACTTTTTTTTAAATATCTATCTAAAAATTGGTATTTGTTGGTCATAATGGGTTCTAGCTCCGGTGGCGAAATATTGCATGTATGGTCTCCTTTTTGGTATACCTCACATATAACGGTACCTCCCGATATTCCGTATTTCGATCATTTTTGCCACATCTTTTCATTTTTGTCACAATCTCGCGGTTTTGTTTAAAAATTGGTTTTTGTGGGTCCTAATGGGTTCAAGCTCCGTTGGCGAAGCATTGTATGTATAGGTCCACATTTTTGTATAGCCCCATAAAGCGGTACCTCCCGATATTCGATATTTTCATGATTTTTCACACATTTTCCCACGAATATGTCTAAAAATAGGTATTTGTGAGTCATAATTGGTTCTAATGTTTCCATTATCCTAAGATGGAGGGCCAAACTTAATGTATTTTTTTTTTTTTTTTTGTTTTTTAATATTTTTAAAAACTTTGGCCACAAAATTACAATGAGCCAATGAAGAGGTACAATTAAATCTATTCTTTTAATGTTTGCAAATTTTTATATTTATTTAAAATATTATTTCTAAATCTAATTTAAATAGTTAGCAATGATGAGCTGGAAAAAACGATGTAAATATATATACAAAAACGAAATGAGCATTGTGAGTAAGTATATAAATATACAAATAATAATAATAAAATATATAAAATATACACAGTATGTATGTACATGTTGTATGCCTTGTGTCATATAGCATAAAAATATGTGGTAAATTAATTAATAATACAAATAATAATCATTGTTGTTTATGAGTGTGTAACTATAGAGATAAATTAACAAAAAAACTAAATAAGGAATCTGATGATATGTATCTAGGGCGGATATACTTTTGGTACTTACAAAGAAAAAGAATGGAAAATACAAAAAAAATGCATAATTTATAAAAAGAAAACTACTTCAAGTACAGAAATACTCAAAAATGGAAACGTTTGCATACAATTAACAAATACAAATAAAAATAATTATTAAAAAAAGAAAACAAAACAAGAAACACCATTAGAATATAATTGTTGTTTTGTAAAATAAATATGTAACCAAAAAATACTTTTCAAAACTTCAAAAATAATCACGGAATGCAAAAAAACAACTACAAAACAAAAATTATAAAACCTAT